TCAACTATGATTCTGCCTAATTTCAGGAGAAGAAGAAGACGGTTACTGGGGTAACGCAGAGGTAACGTCAACATCGTAGTTGCTGAGTATCTTCCAGCGTTTTACCTTTTAGTAACGCTACCGTGTTCATCTCAGGCGAACTATGGTAGCTAGCGAAACACCTGCTTCGGTTGGACGTTCAGTGTAAGGTGCGAAACATTTACTGTCTTATCCATGATATTCCGTGGAAACGAGCTCACGCTGAAGTTATTTTAACACTGGCTAATTGGCTGATGCTAAGGGTAAAGGCGTTTGGTAAACTAGCGTTCAATGGCTGACGCGCTACACAGGTTAGGGTTAGGGTTAGGGTTACTGCGTGCTGGTGGTCCACCTGAAGGAACTGTCTGTAACTTCTCCAGCCCTGCATCAGAGGTGCAAGTGCAATAGTTGTGTGACTCGTTTTGACTCACACACAGGACAGCTTTCCTGTCCAAATGAATGACTTTAAAAAGCTGTTGTGAAGGGAGTGGCACTCCTCAGGTGAGTGCAGTAATCCGTATCATAGGGGCTAATAGAAGAATGTCTTCAGATGCAAGAATGTGTTCTGTGTGAAAGACACAAGACTCTTCTACTTTTCTTGTCAGCATTTCTTATTATACGGGAACACAGTCAGTTACAGTTTGACACTGTTTCTTCATTCTACATTAAAGTACACAGTAGTATGAAGGGCCCCTGTAGGGCAGCACGATATGGTCAAAACATAATGCAGTGTGATTCACGACTACTGTGGGAACGGTAATCTTTGCGGCACAAACAATTCAAATCACGATGACGTGACATTTCTTCCGGTCCGTACCAAACAATCATGTTTTCTTCAACAAGATTTGTTTCAGCTCCAAATGTTTGATTGATTTCTTGTTATTTTTACTCTTTAACTCGTCGTGGTTTCAGGCATCATGGCGAGCCAGAGGCCCCCCTCCGGCATGGGCCGCCCATTGAGCCGCAGTGGAACTGGGCTCCCTGGCGCTGGAAGACCCCCGACGGCCGTCAGACCTCCTCCTACAGCTATACGTGTTGCAACTGGGGTAAGTCAGCTGCAGCTCGGATGCAGTTTAGTTCAGATCTTCCTGTGATCACTGTGCTTCAGTGCCCTCTCCTGAGAGCGTCCGATGATCTCCCTCCTCCTGACTGACTTGGGTTTTGTTTACCTGTTAGCAACTGTAACTCTCAAACAAACAACTTTTAGAGCAAGGAAGAGTTATGCTTGCTTTTGTGATTTGCATGTAACTAGCACATACTTTACTGTGGCAGCATTTATTACACAGTGAGTCAGCATATGGGACTGTCTTTAGGTGTTGCAGTGTTGACTGGTCTCACAGAGTTTTCCTTCTTCTCTTATCAATCCAGATGGTTCCAGGTACAAGTGGTCATCCTGGTATGAGGGGTGGCATCCCCATCGCCACCCCTGGAGTCCTGTCGGCTCCAATCAAAGTGACTGACAGGCCTGTGACCCAGCAGGGGCTCAGCGGGATGAAGACTGGCATGAAAGGTAAGTTTGATGTGGCTCTGTTTGCAAAGGTTTGTATCTGTATGGTTTAATATTGTGGCATTGAACATCATCACAAGTCTCACCAGGCTCTCTCTTTGTCTCCTTCTTCCATCCGCAAAAGGACCTCAGAGACAGATTCTGGATAAGTCCTACTACTTGGGCCTTCTTAGGTAACACATGCTCCTATTAGTCGTACTGCTGTGGCTCACTATGCAGCAGGTGTTGCCCTTTCTTGAAGGCACCTGTTCATACACACTGATCCATTTTACCATTTCAAAGAGAACGTTGTTGTTGTGCTGTTAGGGGTAAGATCAACGAGTTAACCACAGAGACCAGCAAACTGCACAAAGAGATCGACAACTACAACCAGGAGAACTCAGTCTATCTCTCCTATGAGAAGAGGTGAGTGGTGTTTTTAGCTGTTAGTGCTGACACTGTGCATCTTGTAATGACAAACAGATCCTGTTCTCCAATTGAATTTAGGCCTACTGCATCTCACAGCCTTCAAATATTCCGAAATATAAGAAAATAGACCTATTGAGAAGGAAAAAAGGCAAATGTTTGTGGACTGCAGCTAGAAATTCTAAGCTAACCTAAAAGAAAAAAACCCTGCCATGCTATTAAAATGTATCCATCCATCAGTCCACCAGTCTACCATTGCACATTTGCGCATACGAACACAATGGCTCTTGTTATACAATTAATTACTGTTATAAACAGGAGTAAAACGGTGTGAAAAAAGAAATGAATCACCAGCCGTTTTTGGTTTCTTTCCCATTCAGAGCCGAAGGTCTAGCTGTAGAGATTAAGGATCTACAAGGCCAGCTTGCTGACTACAACATGGTAAAGTTTAAGCCATTGGTTCTAATTGTTTTTAGTGTGTAGCCACTGAAAACAGTAATCCTTGGTTCCTACATCCTCGACATTACAACCAGCAACAAACTGAACTAATATTATCACACTATTTGACACTTTATGGAGTATAAGCTTAAGTTATCTATAATAAGGGATGCAGTACTGTAGAAAAACAAGTACCATCCAGTATTCAGAATTTTGGCATTGAATTGGTATCAAAGTATGTGTTCTTGTGACATCCCTATCCATAATGACTCATAGTGAGTGTAAGAACAGAAAATGCAAACAGTTAGCTAACTAGCTGTTAAGCTAAACATCATTTGAATATTATACACTGGGCTGTTCTGCCCTTATTAAACACTTGATGAGGCCTACTGATATGTAGCTTAATTGTTGTGTAAATTCCTAAATTTGTATTTCCAGCTGGTGGACAAGCTCAACACCAACACAGAGATGGAGGAAATGATCAACGACTACAACATTGTAAGTACACCATGTATCACTTCCTAAGACCTAAAAAGTCAGAAGTCAAGTTCTTTGCTGTTCTTTCAATGAAGAGATACTCGCCAGCAGCATCTACGCTAACCTCTTTAGAAATCAGCCATTGTTGCGTTACTTGGCAGTAAAAACCAAGCTTGTAGCTGTCAGTAGTTTTATCAAAGGACCCTGATTGGTCTGAACCACTGCAGTTGGACAGAAGCGCGTAGCTTAAAGCCGATAGATTGTCGTGTGTTTTAGCGAGTCTAAGAAGGTTGGACACTGTTCCCCATTGCATAATGAGAATGACCTCTTATTCCTTTCATTTCCCTTCCTCTCCTCCCTCCCAGGTGAAAGCCCAGAATAACAGCGAGGCTGAAAGCATTGATAGCATCTTCACTGAGAGGAGAGAGTAAGTTATTATATTATGTAATGGTTGTGACAGGGTGTCCTCTCAAACACAGCTGTATTGCTTGAGTTCATTCATAGTTTCATTAATAACTGATAAAGGAAATTAGGATTTTCAGGTAAATGATTGATGTCAATATATGATGTCATGGTCAAAAATCTAGACTACAGTATATTTCATGAATCAACATATTTCCATGGGAATCTGCAATTGGTTTTGAGTGCAGTTTATACAGTGGTGAGCACATTCAAAAAGACTGTTACATTAAACGTTACATGGCACAAAATGAGCAGAAGCAGAAGAAAGAATCCCTGGTTTTGGCTTGAAAACATTCTTTGAAGGTGTGGTAGCTGACGTTCAATCTCACCTTTCCTCCCTTGCCTGCAGAGCTCACATAAACTCCGTCACTGAGGAACTGCTGTGTAGTGCAGAGACAGCAGCTAGCAAGCTTCTCGTGACCCTAGTAACATCTTAACTTGTGTCAACCCTGCAGTCAGAGTCATCAGACTACCGCCGTGCAAACAAGGTGGTTGTAAATCGCTGTAATTAAAATATATAACCTCAAGTGCACATTTTGCAGGAGGCAACACACCTGTGTGCATTCCTCTAGGGATCCGTGGAGTGTAAAAACTGTGCCTTTGTATGTCAAAGTGTGAGAGGGCCTTACATGTTAGGCTTTGTTGATTTGTCGATCAGAAACAGGGATCAAGAGCTCAAATTTTAAACTTTTTACCTCATATTCTTACATTGATAGGATGCTACAGAGTATTGTAAAATCAGTAGAAACAGTACAACAAGCTTCAATTACTCAACTACCAACATTATAACGACCTTGTATTGCAGCCACCGAGTCAAGACAAAGTTTTACTGACCCCTAGAATGATAATACGATCCAGTGCCTGGAACATAAATAGCTAAATGATTTTATTTAGCTAAGGCGATGTATACTGTACACATCATCAGCAGCCCCTCAGTGAGCACCACATTGCTGTGATGACTGCCTCCTTGTCCTGTCACTGGTTCACCAGCTGCTGTTTGCTCCATCATGGTTCTGCTAAAGTCTCTTCTCCTGGATGTCACTCTTCCCTCTTGATGTATGGATCCTCAAAATACCCATCCTCCTCCTCCTCTTGCTCCCCCTCCATCCGCCCGTTGTCTTGCCTAAAGGTGAATGTCTGATGACTCAAGTGTGTCCCTGTGTCTGAGAAAACTGTGGACACCGCATCCCCATCCTCTTCTTGGCGTAGTCTCCGATGGCGGTAGTTATGGAAGAGCCTGTACCAGGAAGGCCCCTTTATGGCACATACGATGAGCATGGAGGTGAACAGAGCCAAGGCTACAACACACGCTGTGAACTTCCATGAGTTGCCGAGCACAGGTGTCTGGTCTGGTTGGGGTTGCAGGGTGAAGACAGAGAGGAGAGCTAAGCTTGTAGTTGAAGAATAAGAAAATAAGAAAATGAAATATCCACATCTCTTCTTTGTCTTACCTTTATTGTTGTGGTTCTGGCTCTTCAACGTGGTCTGCAGCACAGTGGTTGAGGCCCTAGACTGCTGGATATTGACTGGCATTTTGTGTTGGTCTGTGGTGAAGGTTGGTGCTGGTGCTGATGGGTAACACACAGCTGTAGCCTCCAAAAGATCCGTTCCAACCTGATTTTCTGGAGAAGCACAGCTGACTCGTGGTCCCCCTGCACAGCCTGATATCACATATAGAAGCAATTTAATGAATGAGCCACTTTCAGACAGGCACCCCTTTACTTTAATCTGACAGCAATTGGATTTATTCATGTATGAATAAGCCCATATCAGTTCATTCTATCAAAGCTGTTTCCCTGGCTGTGCAACTGGGGCAGAGATTAAAAAAACCTTTTTACAATAATGATCGTGATGAAAAGGGCGTTACTTCAGTAGGTTAAGTGTCATCAGCACAGTTAGATTGCGTAGAGCAGTGATTCCCAACCTGTTTCCTTAAGGGACCCCACCCCCCACCTAAGTGACATATTTTATGGATGTTTCATATTCATAAAACACTGCACAATCAACCCAAACAGTGAACTAGAGTAACTGCAAATTTGTGTAAAACGACTGTTTGCAAAAAATATATGTCTTTGGAGGTCAACTTGGGACCACCAGACCAGCTGTGCATATCTTATATCATAAGGCTCATCATTTTAGTTTTTTACTGATTTTAACCGACAAAGGTCCCCGATTTTTAAAATGAGCATAGTGGTTTCATTTCATTTCAATCACATTTTATGCCCCCATTAAACTGAAGTGTACAGTAAAAAAAAGGTCCTCTTGATGTCTGAGAAATGCTTCTGGTCATTATATGGATTTGTGTGTCAGTCTACTTGGATGAAATTATAGATAAGAATAATAGGTTTCACCCACCCACAGTTAAATAACTAACCCTGAACAGAAGTGGCCGATCTAAGAATTCTGACTCCTCCTGGATCACAACGGTCACATGTCGGCTATATTACTGACAGCCTAACAACGTAGAAAGGAAATGATTACCAATGGTAACTCCTGCTGCTTTGAGCGCTCCAATACTGCTCAGCAGTGGGCAGGAACAGTTCCAGGGGTTTTCCTGAAGGTTCAGCACCTGATGGGACCAGACAATGTCAGGTTAATGGATTAATATTAATGTGGTTAACACAGCAAATCTCTGATTAAAAAACATAATGGCTTAGCCAGGTTTACACTTGGTTGTGTTCCTTTTCTTGTGCATTAAAACGAGCATTTGATATAACATTGACACATTATTCTTTCTCCTATGGACAGTAATCAACTGCAATACCAATGTATTTGGGTTGTAACATTAAACATGGAAGAATCAGAGACAAGAAAAACTTCAGAGTTCACAGTGACCGTTGCATATCTTAGGGGATCCTCCAGGGATTTTGTGTTTACCTGTAGAGTCTTTAGCTGTCTGAATAGCTGTGTGTGGAGACTTGTCAGCAGGTTGTGGGACAGGTCCACCTCTGTCAGATCATCAAGCCCAGAGAAAGACTCTGGGTCCAGGCTGCAGTGAGACCCAGTAGTAGTAAATGCAGTCATTATTGTAGCAGCAGTAGTAGTGGTAGTACACATATTTCAACTCTCAAAGGTCTAGAGCAATACAGAGATGCAACAATCCACCAAGTTTCACCAGATGTACCCATGACTTTTGTTCAAAATGTGTTTTCAAAACTTGCTAAAATCAGTATGTAGGATGGAATCTAGCGTCTTTATTTACCTGCTGATTTTGTTTCCCGACAGAGAGAGCACTCTGAGGTGTGGTACCACAGAGAAGTATTTGGCTGGTATACCAGTCACCAGGTTACCCCCCAGGTGGAGTTCTACCAGTCTGGTATAACTAGCCAGGGCTAGTCTGTCAGCTTTATTCAGAGTGATCAAATTCCCTTCAATCAGCAGTTTAGTAACAGAGCAACTGGTGTTACACTGAGGAATAACTTTCAGAGAGTTGTTGGTCCAGTTCTTTACCTGCTGATGGATAATGGACAGTTAATACAACAACCTTACACTTACAGACAGACAAAGTAGTGTGATCCACTCACTGCGAGACAGCTGAACAACAATAAGATAGAAAGAACAGAACTTTTCTTACCAGTTTGTCTTCTCCTGCAAGTGCAGCATTACCTCCCAGTATATTCATTGCTACGGCTGCAGTAAACCACAGCAGTAGCGGAGGGTGCCGGCACCTTTCCATTGTCCTACCCTGAATGGAAAATAGACTCCTCTGTTTTACCTGGGATAACGGGAAGATCAGTCCACCTGCTCAAACAGTGGAATAGCTTTGTTCTGCTCTACCCTCTGCTGGCCTGTATGTCACTCATTACTGTCTGTCATTGTAGACATTGTTGAGTTCACCTTCTTCGTCACCTTGAGTTCGGCTTTAGGGCGATGGCGTCACTACACCACAGATTCTGCTTTCCAGTTCCAGTGTGTACATTCATAGCCACGTTGGTTGCAGTTTATCACAAATCATATACGTTGTTTACATTTAAATAATAAGCAGGAATGCACCGAAAACGATTATTACAAAATAACAATTAGGATGGTTTTCTGGAGCTCAGTCTGTTTCTCCTCTGATCCAAGACGTGAGACGCACAGCTGAACAGACACTCTGTCCGTGCCGCTGCATGGAACACATCAGCATTTGCCTGCAATTTGTGTCAGTGCTGGAGAACAGAGGAGATTATTTGTCTAATATCCGGGCTGGAAATAACCAACACAGCATTTAGCCAGCGCAAAATTGATTTGACACAACCGATAAACATCAGCCACTGACATCAGTGAATGCCATCTTATTTGCTGATAGGCTGATGACTAATATTGGCTAATACTGATGTTCAGCTGATAAATCGGTGCATCCCTAATAATTAGAGTAGATATATATTAAAGAAATGCTCAGAACCGCAGAAGAGAATCGATACCACAAAAATATTGCGAGACTCAAGTGCATCAATATTTTCTTACACTCTTATAAAACCTCTCATGTAAGCTTGAATAACTGAGAAGGGACATTAATCGAACCATTAACCTTAATGTGGCTAATTATGGCCATCATGTTAATTGTTTTCCCCAAAAGAAGATGAGACACATTGCACTAAAGAGAACTTTGAGTTCTGGTCCTTATTTGATACTTTTATGTTCATTTAATGGACTGTGCTATCTTCTGACGCATTTCAGTGTAAACCTTGATCAGAGTACAGTATTTCTGAGTCGGTGAGTTCTCTTTTATATGCGTGCAGTGTCTTTTATTTTCCTGATATCTTTTGAAAAAAAGAAACACTTTGAACTTGTTGAACTTGGAATTCAACAAGCACACCTATTCTTTCATGGTATAAATATGTCTACTGAATAACCTTTAACCTGCATACAGTACAGCAACATCGGTCAGTGTCCTTACTGTAATGTTTGTGATCACACACACATCTTATTCCCTCACTATTCTATATCACTGAAAAATAACCAAAGACACTTACCTGTACTTCTACGGGCTCTTAGATGAACTTTAATTCACCTGTCAGCGTGATGCAGCCAGCACAGCATATGACCTTTGTTCCTTGTTGTAAAACCTGAAGGCTGACATGAACTGTTACAGCTAGCTAAACATTTATGATTGAAGGAAGGCCTCCTTTCTTCGTTTCTTTCTCACTTTGTATCTTTAAAGTCCCCCTCCAGTGTTTTCTTGTTCCTACAGTCTGATGTTTGAGCTTCACTGTGCAGAATGATGTATGTACAGAGTTTCAAGAGTAGTTGAATGCTGACGGAGTAAAGAAAGCAAAGGAGAAGGATGACAGAGGGGAGAGAGAAGCGTTGACATGATGTACATTTGCTCAGTCCATCCTTTATCTATCGATCTTAACTGGATGTCTGTCCGTCTTATCTGTCCTGCATTTGAATGTGGCTCAGGACCTCTGTCACACGTCCCCCTCCCCACGCTTTTAACTAGTTAAGGCAGAAAAAAAATGACACCAACAACAAACTCTCACACGCTTGTTGTGTTTGCCATGCAGGAGAGAGGAGGCTATCAGGGCCATTGAAGAAGAGATCAGGAGGGAAAGGCGGGTCGCTGACGAGGTTGTTCAATCAATGCCGGCTGCGAAGCAAGAAAAGTATTTTACCATGACGACAGCCAATGAGGAACTGCTACAGGTACTCATGTAGTTTTAGTCTGATGTTGTTAAAATACCACTCTTTACTTGTTTTACTTTAATATACGTGTTAAATATAGTCTAATGTTTGCAGTGATAATACTTTCATATTACTATTACTCATACTGTAGTTCAACACTGTCACTGCACTAGGGCTGCAGCTGCCCATTATCTTCATTATTTATCTGACGATCATTTTCTTGATTAATCAAGTAGTTGTTTAGAGTCCAAGGCGATGTCCTCAGATGTCTCATTTGTCCATAACCCAAAGATATTTAGTTTACTGTAATAGAGGATGAAAGAAACCAGAGAATATTCCCTTTTGAGAACCTGTAATCCAAGAATTCTGACATATTCTCTTTAAAAAATGACTTTAAACTCCTTGTTTTTCATTTCACAGGAGCTAACTGTTCTCCAGGAGGAGCTGGACCTTCTGATAACCAGGAAGGAGGACTACGAAGCAGTAAGTTGGGTTTCAAAGAGGAGCCGGGGGGGTGGACAACCCCCAAGTCACCAAGTTACCAAGTTACATTTAAGACTTTTGAAGACATTTTAAATAACACATAGAATGTACTTTAATACCTGTTACATGGTCATACATATGAACAACCTCAATAAAAACCAGTAAGGATGATAAGGCCTATAATAATTTACCAAGTGCTAAAGGTCAATTTATTTATTTATTTATAATTTATGTATTGATTTATGTCACATTTTTTGTCATAACTTCCTAGTAGTTGTCCAATCCTTGCCAATAATATCATTATTCAATTATTAAACATGACCTGGACCTGGATAAGCAGCAGAGGATGAATGTATGGGTGGAGAAATATTTAAGAGCCTTTTGTAAATGAAGTCTTTATTTAAGGAAATCAAATGGAATCTATGGCTTTTAAGACTTTTCAAGCCCTGCAGATACTGTAGCAGCAGGAACACCTCTAGCTGCAGTAGTAATAGTAGTGCAAGCTGTTGTACCTTTCACCGTTCTGTGTGCAGGAGCTGGCCCACTCGCACATAAAGCAGGAAATGGTCCGGCTTCATGAGACTCGCTCAACGCTGGAGGCGAAGCGGGACGCCATGGAGGCCGAGCACAAGAGCCTGGGCTCCCCACAGGAGGAGAGAGAGAAGCTATTCAAACAGGTTAGCTCCACAAGCAGCCAAAGAGAGTGAATATAGACAACATACAGCAACAGAGTTTTATTAGGCTAATGTAAGCTGCATTCATTGAAAATAAAATCAACCTTAAAACAACATTTAAGCTGCTAATGATTTGTTTTCCAGGTGAAGGAGGACAACCAGGAAATTGCCAGCATGGAGAGACAGTACGTATTCATATTAAACACAATATGTCACGGTGTCACCAAAACTCTGTCTGCATTAGGTTAAGGTTTGATTCATTCATTACTAAATAACTAAAATTAGAAGTCCAAGAAGAAAAGACACGAGCAGATAGTGGACACAGTGATAGAATCTTGGTTCTTATTCTATAAATGACTTGAATGAAGCCAAATTAGGGCTGCATGATATGTTCTATTATTTTCACTGCTATTGCCATTGTGATATAATTCATGATTATTATGAGAATAATAATTTTTGCATCCTAATTTTCATTTTCACTGAAGAAAACATTAAAATCCTGATGATGTGACATTTATTTGGAATCTGTAGCGTGTAATCTGTTTTCTTATCTGGAGAACAAGACTTGTAGGCCAGGACATCTCTGCAGCAGTGCAGCACTTCATTATAATGCTGATTGTCACACATTGTAGCTTTATCAAAGAATTGCAGCTTTTGATAATATTGTGCAGCCCTAAGCCAAATCTAATCTAGTAAGACCAAAGTCAATTTTGCAGCATCTCTGCATGATCTTTTAAAGTCTGTCACAACAGATCCAGTTGAAAGAGAAAAAGAAGAGTTTCATTCTTCACATCCATGTTTTTCCCCATTCACCCTGTGACCTCACAGTTACTTGCTTCTTATTTTAAACTGTGCTGTGTGTTTGCGTGTGTGTTTTTAGACTTACAGAGATCAGGGAGAGGGCCGGAAAAATCTCAGAGGAGATCCGACAGCTGGAGCAGGACTCAGAGGAAGCACAGGGTAACACCGGATCACAATTATTTCCGCTCAGTGTACGCTTTTGAAAAATTGCCTCTAAAGTGTGTCATCTTATATTGGGAAAGTCCTAAACCACTGTACACTGTATCAGAGACTGTAAACGTCAGGGTGCTGCTATTGTACATGACTCACACACTCAAATATTTACATAAGAGACACTGTAACCTTTGTATGATCAAAATTGTTGTTGATTCATTTTCTTTCAATGGGCAAAATGTGTCTTTACCCATCACGTTACCAAACTCCTGCACACAAACTATCAACAGCAAACTAACTCAGTTACTAACTTACTAAGTGTATGATTGCTGAATAGCTGCTTTGTGTGTCTGTAAGGGGAGTGCCAGCAGAAATACAAGGAGCTGAAGAAGAGAGAGGAGGAAATTGACCGTAAGTTGAACCTGATAGTGGGCCATGATAGTTAATATGAAACATCACAGTATTATTCAGTGTTACCGAGGGGGATCTAGTGACTGTATATTTAATTTATTTGTAGTCTTATCACAGTTGCTGTATGGCCAATACATTAACCCTTAGGTGTTCCTCGGG